AAATTCTCAGAGGAATTGACAGGGTAGATAAAGATAAACTGTTTAACACAGGTGGTACACGAACAAGGGGACACAGGTAGAAACTGAGTACGCACATGAGCCACAGGGACGTTCGAAAGAACTTTTTCAGTGTGGGAGTAGTTAACAGGTGGAATGCATTAGGCAGTGATGTGGTGGAGGCTGACTCCATACACAGTTTCAAATGTAGATATGAGCCCAGTAGGCTCAGGAATCGAATCTGTACATCAGTTGATTGACAGTTGAGAGGTGGGACCAAAGAGCCAGAGCTCAACCCCCACAAGCACAATTAGGTGAGTATACAAAAATTAATGACTGAGTTATCGGTAAGAACAATGGCGCATTAATGAAATTAAAAATGTCCCGAAAAGCCGTAAAGGAATGATAAACTTTCAACCATTCAGCAGCCATATGCAAGGAATGGAATGACAACAAACTACACCTGTGGAATGGTGTGCCATGACCAGTATGCCGCCCTGCCAGCCAGTCATGACAACACAAAACATCACTCTCAGATCCCAAACATCACAATCTGTGTAGCAAAACACTTGCCCAAAAATATAACCAACAAAACTGCTGATCAGAGAGGAGGTAAGAGCAGGAATACCAAAAGTACCATAAAATAATGTGCAATAAATGTATAATGAACCACACAAATATGTTGTTTTATTATGTACTGTAATTTTGTATTAATTTTTTCTGTACAAAACATCCAAGCAAAAGATGGATGCGTCCGACATGAGGGTGTATAACCACGCCAGTAAATATGGGAATACTAATTCAGAAAGGGAAGGAGACAAAAACCACCTTCCCTGCAGCATGAACACCTGCCCAGAGTACACAAGGGCCCCAAGCAGGCTCAAAAGGGGCCCCAAGAGCTCCAAGTGGACTCCCCCCCTGAGCCCCAAGAACCCCCTTTCCTCAAAAGCCCTGGGACAGAACCCTCATCCAGCTTTGAAGAAAAGATGACATCCAGGGGAAAAGCTTCTAAGAAGGGAGTCTGCTGGGTTGACTCAGAAGCCTCGGCGGGAAAATCGGGCCAACTACCTCCATGTCTGAATTGGAAGAGGCAGCCCCAGAAGGCATCCGAGCCTCATCCCGAACTAAACCCCCTCCTGACCCCCAAACCCTCAGACGTTTGGAAGCCAGAAGCAGGGATGGAGGAGCAGGGCAAACCACGTCCATCTGGGAAGGAAGCGGGTGCGAACGGCACAAAGGTCGAATCGTCTAATGTCCCCAAATCCTGGTCCTGAAACCCAAGCAGGGCAGCTCCGGGGCCTTCAACTGGGCAAACAACCTGGCTTGTTGATACCTGCTTGATGGGGTTCTGGGAGTTCTTCCCAGAAACAAACTACTGTTTCACCAGTAGCAACCGCAAAACCTCGGGGGGGGGGGGGGGTGAGGAGGGGGGGGGGCAACAGAGAAGGACTACCAACACAACCTAGGGTTGCATAATAAGAAGAATCGAGCATGCAACACAGCCACCACCTGACCCTTCAGATCAACAGACAAGGAATGAGTAAGGCGAAGTACAAGCAAGGAACAAGTCTCGTAAAACTCCGAGTCGTAGGTGTTACCAACCCAACAGGCAGCATGATGGAAGCAATACGAATGATTGTCTCCCTGAGGCAGGGGCAATGAACAACCTTCAACTTTGCACAAGGTGAGAGGGGGCTCGGAAGGTGTATGCATAGTACCTGTAAGCCTACTGGGGTTTTCCAGGGCCCATAGGATGCGTAAGCCCATATGGGAAGCACAGGCACTGGGGCCAGCTAAACTGGTAGAACCCTGTCGGTCAGCAGGCAAACTGACCACCAGTAGCAGCCGTTAAATCTCGAGGCAACAAAGGAGAACACAAACTAGGTTTGCCTAATAAGAAGCTAGGCAGACCTAAGCTAAGAAAAGGCAAAATGCTAGAAAAGAAAAAGAAGACCCCAAAGACACGCAACACACTGGCAGACAGAGAGAATTGTCTGCTGCTGCGAGTACAAGCTGCACAGGCCGCAGTATCAATAACACACCCCTACCCGGGACAAGACAAAGCCCAAGACCCCCAACATACCCCCATAGGCAAAGATAAGCCAAGCAACGAAGTCCTCAAACAGGAGCATGTCCCGAATGCACCCAGGGAAGATAACCTTGAAACGCAAGGGTAGTACTTACGGAGCACCTAGGGAAGATCACCCTAGCCACATGCTGCTCTTTTACACTAAGACACCTGGCCACCACACCACACACAGCTGGTACAGCCACACAGGGCAAAATTCAGAACAGGAACTTGATGCCAGAAGTGACCAAGCTGACCCCAGCACATCAGTTCAAGAACTGGAGTGGTGGGCTGCTGGCAGCTCCAGTTCTTGAGAAGTAGGGAAGGGGAGGAGACAAAAGGAGGAGGGAAGAGAAGGGATGGGAAGGGCAGAAGGGAAGGAGACTCCCAAGAGGGGGGGAGGCTACTGCCCCCCCCCCCTGGAAGGATGGGGGGGGGGCAGCAGCACTAATGAACGAGAGTACTAGTTGGATGTGTCGCTTGTTTTTCTTTCTGGGGGAGTTCTGCCATGTTCAGACATAGGTCGCACTTTTCACCAGATTGTGGTCCGTTTTGTTTCGCCTATTTTTCTGGGTGACTCCCCAGTCGATGGCAATTACAACATACTTTAAATTTAAAGTGCTCATAGGTCATTGCTCCATGTGCCTCTCTGAGGGGGCCAGGTTCTGGCTCGGGGTCCCCAGTAGGCATAAGGGGCCAGATTCACGAAGCAGTTACGCAAGTACTTACAAATATGTACACCTTTCCTCAATCTTTGACGGCTTTGGTTACATTTATTAAACAGTTTACAAGCATGAAAACTTCCCAATCAACTGTTGTTATTGTTATAAACAGCCTCCTGGTGTTTCGGAGCTCATTTACTGTTTAATAATTGTAAACAAAGCCCCCAAAGATTGAGAAAAGATGGACAGGTTCATAAGAGCTTGCGTAACTGCTGCGTGAATTTGGCCCAAGGACTAATGTGACTGATGACCCCAAACTAATATAGCACATCAGTTCAGATAGCTTCAGGGAGTCATCGAGGCTCCACACAGAAAAAGGCTCGTTTCCACTGTAGGTCATAGAGAGAAAAATTGAGGGCTTTTTCTAACAGCAATTTCAGTAAAATCATATTTGCCAAACTTTTGACTGCCATAGCATGGTAAACACTTCAGTAAGTAGACTAACCTGGGGAAGGACAGACAGCTGGTGATGAGGTAAAGTGTGTTGTGAGCATCAATACCCTCAATACTCCCATCCATCATCTTCAAGGTCAGCAATTTTCTTATCAAGGATCTCATCGATGGCCTTGAATCCCAGGCCACCTTGGAGTGTGCCGTCTTCAGATTTGGTTATATGGATATCAGGCAAAATATCTTTTATTCGATCTATGATGCGCTAGTTGGAACATGTAATCTCACACTTACAAAAGTTCATATAACTCTTTTGTAATGTGAACTCTTTTAGAGTTCATATAACAAAAGGAGAAGAGTTTAAAAGCATCCCGGGATGAAATAATCTATTTTTATCTTTATAACTTGCATTGTCAACTTCAAAATATAACAATTAATAGTTATGTTTGCCTCCTCTTTGCCCTTCAAAATTTTCATGAGAGTAATCTTGCCGTAGCTTGACAATGCTAGGGGTAGGGGTCAACATTCCACGAAGCACTGGCCCTATGCCTAGTAGGTACCAGATACTAATGCTTTTACTGCAGTTAGTATATACAGACAGAAATGATACAAAGCTCTATGGATAGAAGAATAACTTTGAAGTTAATTTAACACTTGCCGCATTACATTAGAGTCAGTTAAAATGATAAACTTTTACTAAATTTTTATTAAATTCTTAACAACCCAGTATAAATTTAGAGAAATTTACAGATAGTTTGGATTACAATATAATAATGCAGAGGCAATTTACAAGTGCTGAAGCTACTGTACATATGTGGGTTACATGTGGTATCCCATCACATATCTGACACAATTAGCTGAATTTCAAGGGAATACTTGTGATTAGTAAAAACTTCATTTTAATTTCTCAAATATAAGCAATTGAGAAGTACAGTATTCATATTAACACACATTGATGGGCGGGTCAAAGGCAAAACCTTCAGTAGCCTCTATTACCCACTACAACAAAAGGTGAAGAAGATAATTTCACCTAATATTTCCTTTTATAAACAAGATGCATAATGACCAAGCAGCAATTTGTTTAAAATCAATTTAATTCATTGCAATAATCTATAAATGTCAACCTTGGTCACACACTCTCCCATCTGTCTGTGTCTTGTTTATCTACATGACACACGAGTGAAAAATGCCTCTGCATGATGACCAAACCACACACCAGACGATGGAAAAATAAAATGTTTCGGTCTGTCCTGGACCATTATCATGTCGTGTGAGAGAGAATGGTCCAGGTTATATCTTGGGATATCTAGTTCTCTTGAGGTTATCTTGAGATGATTTCGGGGCTTTAGTGTCTCCGTGGCCCGGTCCTCGACCAGGCCTCCACCCCCAGGAAGCAGCTCGTGACAGCTGACTAACACCCAGGTACCTATTTTACTGCTAGGTAACAGGGGCATAGGGTGAAAGAAACTCTGCCCATTGTTTCTCGCCGACGCCCGGGGATTGAACTCGGGACCACAGGATCACAAGTCCAGCGTGCTGTCCGCTCGGCCGACCGGCTCCTCCCAGGAGGGATCGAAACGTCGCAGTTTCTCCATCTTGTGTCGTGTGGTTTGGTCATCATATCTTCAGTCATGTTGTTATGACTCGTCGTCTGCAAATGCAACTACAATACATAATACTGACGTGTTGATACTTGTGTAGATTAACGTATCGAAACCATTCTGGAAAGCTTTGTACCATGCACAATCTTTTATTTCATCTTGAGAAGCAAAAAAATCTTACAAGCATTTGTATCAATTGTCTCAAATATTAATATCACCATATATATTTCCCAGCTTTATTTGATTTAATGCACATCCATAGGCATACATTTTAATCTATATTGCAAGAAAATGTACAAATTCAATATTTAAATAGTCATATACCATGCATTAATACACACAATGAATTTGTTGGCTTAGATTGACCCCAAATAATTGACTTTAATTACTTTAAGAAATCCACCCTTCCAGGGATTATAATGTTCCGCAGTTACATTAATGAAGTATTAAACACTCTTTATTTATTTTGACCACTAGGTGTCAAAATACAACAAACTTGTCAAAACAATAATAATGATCTTAGCAAGACATAGACACAAATGTATTCTGTGTGTGTTAACACACTTAACACACACAGGTAAGGTTATAAATGAGTGGAAGGATTCAAGACAACAATTCCATTATCTCTACATTTTTCCCGTATATAGTGTGATTTGAGTACACACATACACACACACACACTCCAAAATGCAAATACAAAACTTAAATGGCTATTAGTGGCTAAAATTATAACCCAGGAATAATGATGTCAATCATAGAACATCTATCAATCATGTGTCAAAAATAATCTTAAAGGCACTTTAACATGATACCTTAACAATGAATGGGATAAGGCTGTCTAAACTCTATTAAATCCCCTTGACATAAGTGCATTCAAAATCAATTTATCATTCTATTTGCAGCAATATATCAATATATATGTGCATGCATGCATGCATGCATACACACTATCAATGATAATCAGCGGGGCAACTGACGGAACATCAGACCATAACGATCTTATCTGCTCTTGAATCACAATATTAATAGACAAATGAGATGCCAATATCATGATGACAATGCCTCAACTGCGACTCAAATAAAACACCCGCAACAAAGTGTGTGGATAACCTCTGATGTACAGTTTCTCCAAGTTAGGATAACCTCTGATGCACAGTTTCTCCAAGTTAGGATAACCTCTGATGTACAGTTTCTCCAAGTTAGGATAACCTCTGATGCACAGTTTCTCCAAGTTAGGATAACCTCTGATGTACAGTTTCTCCAAGTTAGGATAACCTCTGATGCACAGTTTCTCCAAGTTATGTTTTATACTGCTAAAACACTTGTATATCTACCACTGAAGCTTTGTCTGAGTGTGCTCTGCATTGGGTAACACCTTTCACAGCTCAGTACAGCACCATACATGCAAACTTAATTATTGCTGTATACCTGAGAGGGTATACCAAGAACCATTTTATTCTCTAATAATGAGAGAGACAAGAGGCAATTACTCAATACGCACACGTATCATTTCCCCGCCTCTCTGACGGCAGGAACTCGCCGTGAGGGACTGTCCACACGCACTACTATCACAGCAGCCTCATAGTGCCATTCCATACAGCGAGGAAAGTAGACAAATAAATAATATTTTGAAACAGACATTAAGAATTTTATTAACTTTATTGTTTTTCAAATTCACATAAATTTTAAAAGTTGTCCTCTAGTTCAAACCCACACACAGTATAGAGAGTTGTATGACTAGCTGAATAAGATCAAATTAAACTATGAATAACAATTATCCCAAAACCAAGCTACTTGTATTAAACCATACATAATAGACTTGACAGGTGACTGTCGCGAGCGTGAGAGGGAGGCGAGAACGCGAGCTGACAAGCTATACAGCTTAGTCAACCATGTGATACTGCAACATTCAACTTCAGGACATTACTTCCAAAATTAACAATGAATTCTACTGCCAATCTTAATCAATTATAGAAGGGAAAGGAATGTATGCAGGTTGCCAAAGCTACTAACAACACTGCCTTTTATCCCCTAGTGATAATGCTGATTATAAAGAAATTAATTCTGGATGGAGATTAATTTCTTGCATGCCTCCCTCCCACCCACATGGAGTCACAAATGACTAATTGCTTGGAGGTTGCTAAGTTTTTATAAATTTATATCTACTCATTTCTTAAGATTTGTGCAAGTATGGAAGGCATCTTAATCGAAGACTATTTAAAGGTGCAACGAAGCAAAAGCATGTAGAGTATATGCTGCAGTTCTAATCTCAAGACAGGGTGAAATTGTTTGGACAAAACTCCCTTACTCTGTGTTACCAAGCTCCTCTACTTCGTCATCATCACACCCAGCTCCTTTATACCGAGACTGTCGCATCAAGCACCTTTCCTCCTCCATCACCACACTAAGCTCCATTACCCCCATCATCAACACCCCAAGCAGAAGCTGATGGCCTGCATGTAAGCTGATTGGCAGATCATGTTTCAAGGACAAAATAATATTCATTACTGTAATTAGTTTTGAAAATGAGCCAAAGCAAAAATCAGCTCTGAACCCTTCCAATGTTAGTGTCAAACATGTGTATAAGTTTAATTACAAATAAAAGCCTTAAAGGTATGCCGGTAGGAAATTGTCTAACACCACCACTCATATAATCACATAACCATGCGTATCATCATGCAACCTTGCATATAATCACACAACCATGCATATAAACACGCAACCATGCATATAATCACACAACCATGTGTATAATCACACAACCATGTGTATAATTATGTAGCCATGCATATAATCATGCCAGCATCCATATAATGAAGTCACATACAAAGTCAATAGGCCTTTACACCCAATACAGCTTCCAGGGTAAACAATTCACTGTACTGTTACCACATCACAAATGCTCTACTGAGAGTTCATGTTCTCCCTTATTAGGCTAGTCGGCCCAGAACAATGTCAATTACCATATTTTCAATGCCACTTTTGTTCACCTTTCAATGATTACACATTTTTTCCTCTTTAATATTAACTTCTTCTATCACAATAATTTTTCCATTACTTTCACATATATTTTGTTTGGTATTTACAGTGTCTAGCAAGCCTTCTGTGATGGTGGACTCTGCCACTGAAGTAAAGTCGTCTAGCCTAATAACTTCCACTGTGTCACCAACGTTCTCGTCCCCACCTCCTGCTGCACCACTTGCTACTGCCAACTGCTGAAAAGAAGCAAATTATAGTTACAGTACATACAGTACTCATCATAAGTATGCGTTGCCCTGATCGAGGAGCCGCAAACTTATGAAAAAAAACCAGCTTGAATGTACAGTAATGAAATGCCATAGCCTGGCACCAGAACCAGGCCCCCCTTAGACAGGCATGAGGAGCAATGGCCTATAGAAACCCCAGTGTGGTTGGAAGCATTCTATGTCTGCCATCAACCGAGTCAAGCACCTAGAAAGGTAGATGCCCCAAAACAAACCTGGTTAAAATATTGCTACTGACAGCCGAACTGTTGGACAGAACTTCCCCAACGAAAAGCGAGCCTGATGTCAACCGTCACCACACCGCCATCTGCGCACCTTCCCACTCCCAGGGAGGGGGAAGTGGGGAGCCCCAGACCCCCGCGCCGGCTATCCAAACCCCTTGTTCTGAGGCTGGATGTCAAAACACACACACACAAAAAAAAACGCCGACCGGAGAGAGGGAGGGTTGCTGGAAAGCCTCGGGTCTCACCCAGAAAATGCTGTTTCATCACATTCAAAGCTGGTTTTCTGGGGAAAGCTCCGTTGGCTCCCCAGAGCTACTTACCCAAAGACAAAACAAGAGGGACTTACCTGGGAGGCGGTCGCCACTCGCTCCTCAATTCGAAGTTGAGACAACTGGCTGCAACCGCCAACCCAGTGCGCCACATGCCTGACTAGGGCCAGGAACATTGACTAGGTAGCAAGTGGCCAGGATCCTTTCGACCTCCAAAAACCCCGTGCCTGAATGTCAGCCCAAGACATGTTACCGAAGATGGCAGCCAAAGTAGCAAACTTACGAACGTCATGGGCATGAGGATAGACTGCAGACTGGTTGGACTGAATAACCCTGCAGACGATCTGGGAGACCTGAACCATGGAACAGGGAAGAAGGGAAATTAGAAAAAAAGGGGGTCAACTCAATGCGCATGCCGGTCACCGAGGCCGTGGCTCGGCCTCGGTAACAGCAAAGAGCCACAACCGGACACAACACATGATGCACCCCCGGCCAAACCAATCAAGCATGAACAACCCAAGGACACCTGTAGAAAGTAGCAGTCTCATTTTTCGCCAGAAGAGAAGGAGACGGCTGCAACCAAACAATCCTACCACCAGGCCCAAAGGAGCTGAAACTGCTGCACCAGAAGAGAGCTCCCCAACCCGACCCCAAGAGGCCAATGCCAACAGGAAAAGAGCCTTCGCAAAACAATCTTGAACCAAAGGGGCCACAACAAACCAAGGAGAAGAGAGAAGGGAGAAAAGAGAACACCTGATCCAATGACCAGGACGGCTCAGGCCACACATGAGCAGGCTGGAGGTGAAACACTGCACGAGACAGCTTGCAAAATGGCACAGAAGTAACATCTACCCCAAACACAAGCTGAAGCAGCTCTGTCTTATCTTGAGGTTATCTTGAGATGATTTCGGGGCTTTTTAGTGTCCCCGTGGCCCGGTCCTCGACCAGGCCTCCACCCCAAGGAAGCAGCCCGTGACAGCTGACTAACATCCAGGTACCTATTTTACTGCTAGGTAACAGGGGGCATAGGGTGAAAGAAACTCTGCCCATTGTTTCTCGCCGGCGCCTGGGATCGAACCCAGGACCACAGGATCACAAGTCCAACGTGCTGTCCACTCGGCCGACCGGCTCCCAGCTGTCAGTGCCGCATGATACGAGGTGACAGTATTCGGCATAAGATGACAGTCCTGAAACAACCAAGATAGGAAGGACAAGACAACCCAATCCGAAACAGAAGAAAACTTATGAAGAGACAAGAAATAAAGAAATGGCCTCCAGGAAACTTCATGCTGCTGTTGAGACGAGACACACAGGTGGGACACCGCTAATGAAGACACCTGCTTACCTAGACCCCTCATGTTTGGACACCGAGCAAGCAGCACTTGAAACTAAGGCTGGGCCGGCCACCAAGGGGCCAAGAAGACTACTCTCCCTTGGTAAGTCTCCAAGCAGGCTAGGACCTGGAGCAACAGTGGAACTGGGGTAAGGTTCCACTGTTGACCTCAAGAGAGGTCTTGAGGTTACCTTGAGGTGTTTTAGGGGCTTAGCGTCCCTGCGGCCCAGTCGTCGACCAGGCCTCCTCTTTGCTGGACTGGTCAACCAGGCTGTTGAATGCAGCTGCTCGCAGCCTGACGTATGAATCACAGCCTGGTTGATCAGGTATCCTTTGGAGGTGCTTATCCAGTTCTCTCTTGAACACTGTGAGGGGTCGGCCAGATATGCCCCTTAAGTGTAGTGGAAGCGTGTTGAACAGTCTCGGGCTTCTGATGTTGATAGAGTTCTCTCTCAGAGTACCTGTTGCACCTCTGCTTTTCAACGGGGGTATTCTGCACATCCTGCCATGCCTTCTGGTCGCGTGTGTGAAGAGTATCATCATCGGTATAGCATCTCTAGTGTGAAAAGTTCTTGTTATCCAACCTGTCATTATTCTTGCAGCTATGACGGCAACTTTATTGTGTTCTTAAAGGTAAGGTCTTCCGACATGAGTACACCCAGATCCTTTACATTGCCTTTTTTGTTCTGTTATGATTTGACTGCATTTTGTACATGGTTTCTGCATTTATATTTTCATTTTTTCCATAGTGCAAGAGGTGGAACTTATCTTCATTAAAAACCATATTATTTTCTGTAGCCCACTGAAAGACCTGATTTACATCTGATTGGACTCTATGTTGTCTGATATGAGGATGAGAAAAAGTACTGGAGCAAGCACAGTACCCTGGGGGACTGAGCTCTTCACGGTTGATGGTCCAGATTTTATTTTGTTGACTATTACACACTGGGTTCTATTAGTCAGGAAACTGTAGATCCATCTGCCTATTTTTCCGGTAATTTCTTTTGCACGCATTTTGTGTGCAATAACACCATGGTCACATTTGTCGAAGGCTTTTACGAAATCTGTGTAAATTACCTCAGCGTTTTGCTTGTCTTCCGTGGCATCTAAGGCCATGTCACAGTACTCACCTAGTTGTGCTTGCGGGGGTTGAGCTCCCGCCTATCAACTGTCAATCAACTGGTGTACAGATTCCTGAGCCTGCTGGGCTCTATCCCAGTAGAGCCCAGTATATAGTGGTCCAGCAACTGTGATAGGCAAGAGCACCCTTTTCTGAACCCATGTTGTCCAGGGTTATGGAGATGCTGTGATTCCATGTGTTTTGTGATCTTATTTCTAAGCACTCTCTCAAAGATTTTTATGATGTGTGGTGTTAGTGCTATTGATCTGTAATATTTTGCCTCTGCCTTATTTCCTCCTTTATGGAGTAGTGCTATGTCTGCTGTTTTTAGTATGTCAGGGATAACGCCTCAAAAGAATGTGAAGGGCTTGCGATAGTGGTTTTTTACAGTTCTTGATGAATGTGGAGCTCCAGGAATCTGGGCCCAGTGTAGAGTGCATAGGCATACTGTCTATGGCTTCTTCAAAGTCCAGTAGGGATAGGTTATCTAGAGGTTATCTTGAGATGATTTCGGGGCTTAGCATCCCCGCGGCCCGGTCCTCGACCAGGCCTCCTTTTTTGTTACACAGCCCCAGGAGGCAGCCCATAGCAGCTGTCTAACTCCCAGGTACCTATTTACTGCTAGGTAACAGGGGCATCAGGGTGAAAAACAATTTGCCAATTTGTCTCCGCCTTCACTGGGGATCGAACTCAGGACTACGAATCTGAAGAGCTGTCCACCCAGCTGTCAGGCGCCCTTAGGGTGATATATGGTTTGATGTTGACATCACATCCATGAAAAATTCATTTGGGTTATCAATCTTTAACCACTTAACTGCGCCAACCGAGTATTCTCGATCGACAGGAAACTGCGCCAACCGAGAAAACTCTTTTTGATTTTTTGGTACCAATTCTAAATGTGTACGAGGTTGGTTGTGTATGAAATGGACTCTTAGGACCTCCAGTGAGAGGCAGCCATCTTGGAAAAAAATCCCAGAATGCCCTAGGGCTGCTGGCTGGGTTAGTACTGAGTGAGCAACCATGGGTGGCGTACGCGCCTCTGGCTCCCAAACACCTGTCCGACGCGGTGTTGAAAGATAAAGCTCTGTCGGTGAAATTCAAACCTTATTGTTTGAAGAACATAAGGGTCATAATATTGGTGAAGCTAGGCGCAATAAGGACCTAACACAAAGGTAGGATGCAAGTGATACAGCACCTATGAGGACGCAACCCGTCCTCTTAAAAATAACGTCACTTTTCGCTCGTATGCGCGGCGCTATGGCCAAATTTGGATGTAATTTGAAATGAAATCGACTCACAAAAGTGACGTTCTGTTCCGTTTTCTATTTGAGTCGTCCAGCGTACGCGCAGAGGTTATAAGAGGACACTTAAAATTAAAGTTTTTCATAACATTTTGAAACTTTATGAGAATTTCCTGCCCACCTAACCTATCAGAGGACATTTAACTTACTGTTGTTGAAAAAAAAAATCCCAAATTTATTTTAATTTTTTTTTTCATTTTCAAATTACGTCCAAATTCGGCCATATGGGCAAATGGCCAAAAGTGAAGTTCTTTTTAAGAGGACAGGTTGGAGGACAATACAGCGAGCATATCCAGTTGTAGCTCTGAGCGTCACCCTTGCAATCATATGCTATCTCCAATTTATTTAGATGATACATAGATGAATCGTTTTCTGCGTTCAGTGATGATGCATCTGATACAAGTAGCATAGATGAACAGTGTTAGCGGCTTCCATGGTGGTGTTTTCCATATATATTTTCAAGAATACCTGAATCTCTTCCTAACTGATGGCAACCAACTAGCGCAACCAACTAGCGCAACCAACTAGCGCAACCAACTAGCGCATTGCAACACGCGAGCTGCCTAGACCCGAAGAATGTCATCAACAGATAGGGTGACCGGAGCCATAAACAAGCAACAAGGCTTGCAGGACTCAAGGTCGAATGTGTCACCAACCCAACAGACAGCATGACGGAGGCAAAAACAATGAGTGTTGCCCTAAGAC